GGACTTTCTGGAAGACAAAGGAAATGATGTAGAGGTAGGAGAGGACTATGAGAATGAAGGGGCCTAGAACAATAGATGTGGTGACAACACTGAGGAGAGTCATGTTGAGGCTGGTACTACTGCAAGCCAATTTCAACAGTGGCTTGATGTCACAGAAGAAGTGCTGAATGTGGTTGTGGCCACAGAAACTGAGTTGAGAGGTCATGAATGAGTGCATCATGGCATGGACAAAACCGGTGGACCAACTGGCCACAGCCAGCAGCAGACAAGTCCTTGGGTTCATGACAAGGGTGTAGCGCAAAGGATTGCAAATGGCCACATAGCGGTCATAGGCCATGGTGGCCAGAAGCACACTCTCAGTACTGCCCAGGAAGTGGAAGAAGTGGAGCTGGGCCAAGCACCCACCGAAAGAGATGGGCTGATGCCCAAAGAGAAGGCCTGTCAGCATCTTGGGAACAGTGACTGTAGAGTAGAAAATGTCCAGGCAGGACAGGTTCCCCAGGAAGAAGTACATCGGTGTGTGGAGGCGGGGCTCAGCTATCACGATGGTCACAATGGCACCATTTCCCAGAAGACTGGTCAAGTAGAGCAACAGAAAGGAGATGAAGGAAAGGTGCTGCAGCCCCTGGGCATCGGTGAGGCCCAAAAGGATGAAATCATTGACTTCTGTCTGGTTCAGCATTGCTAGAACAATAAGGAGCAAAGGCAAAATGTCAAGGTTCCGCAGTTGTGAGGAGCAGCAGCATTATAAAACTCATTTGTTTCTGTGCTATTTTGATACAAACAAATGCAGAAAAGAGCAAAACATAAATACATGCAATCAAACATGAAAGCTGTACAGAAACTCAATAAGCTAATATGGACAAAAAATAATTTTCATGTGGTCTTCTCCTACTTTCTGTGTAGAATAAAGAATAAGGTATCACAAAGGGGAAAATATTAAAATAATGACTTCCACTTATGCATAACAGCAGAATAGGGAAGATATAAAGCATTGCTGCTTCTTCACCTTCAGTCACATTCCTATTTCAGTTCTGCTCATCTGTAACTCCCTGCTACAACCTTTGATCTCACCAATAAATCTTCTAACTCATCATGTCATTCACTCCTGATGCTTTCTTTCTACTCTTGTGCCTACATTTTGTTAAACCAATTTCAACTTTCACATTTCTAATGGTTACCTTTATGGGAC